AACTATCTCAATAATTAATTGTGCATAATTTTCTTCTCTATCTTCTCTTTATGCGTTGAAGAAGAAATTTCTATTTGCGTTAGTCGTATTCTGTGGCATTTTACAAAAATATAATAGCCTCTTCCTTCCATGTAATTATTAATATTCTTTCAACTTTTTCTGTATTGTTTCTTCATACACCAAATTTGGCATTTTAGAAAGTTGTATCTTTTAGCAATTTGTGCCTTTAGACAACAAATTTATCATTCATTTGTTTGAGAAAATTTAGAAAATTACTTGATAAAATGCAAGGATTTGAAGGTGTAACAATGGCAGATATTCTGAGAAGAGAGAGTCCGCTAAGAGAGAAATGAACAATTGTTCTATTAAAGAAGATGATCGGTACATTTTATACACCTAACTACCACTATCTTAAGTTAAACAACTAACTAATTGAAAGCTCATTAACAGCTGTCATTAACAGAAAGAAGCACGTGACTAACTAACTAATACATGTGCTATATGATGCTATTCTATATTACAATATGCCCCCTCAAGCTGGAGGGTGTAGAATGTTGAGCATTCCAAGCTTGTCAAGAAGATGCACATGTTGAGCAGTTCTCAAACCTTTGGTTAGCAAATCAACTTGCTGCTCCTTTGTATTCACATGTACTGCTTGAACTACCCCTTCTTTGATCTTGTCCCTAATGAAATGACAATCTATTTCTATGTGTTTTGTCCGTTCATGTAGTATGGGATTTGTTGCAATCTTAATAGCAGACTTACTATCACTAAGGATTGTCACTGGTTGTGTAATCTTCATACCCAACTCTTTAAACAGACCCAGTAACCATATGATCTCAGCAGTTGCAGCAGCCATGCTTCTATACTCAGCTTCAGCTGAGCTTCTTGACATAGTTTGTTGTTTTTTTTATTTCCAAGATACCAAGGAACTTCCAAACTTTATCACATAACTAGTAACTAACCTTCTTGTATTGGGACATTCTGCCCAGTCTGAATCACACCAACATATTAACTCCCATGTGTGATTAAAAGCCATTAAGATTCCATGTCCTGGTGCATTCTTTAAGTATCTTACAACCCTAACTGCAGTATCCCAATGAGACTTCTTGGACCTTTGCATGAACTGGATTAAGGTTTGCACAACATAATTGATGTCAGGTCTTGTAATGGTGACATACAGCAACTTCCAACTAGCCTTTGATAGGCACTGATGTCCTGCAATAGAGGATCATCTTTGACTCCATTTTCCTGATCATATTCTACTGAAGCAAGTTTTGTATTGGCCTCCAAGGGTGTACAATCAGGCTTAGCCCCACTTAACCCCATCTCTAAGATGAGTTACAGTACATATTTCCTCTAGTTCAACAAAATGCCAGTCTTGGATCTTAGTACTTCAATTCTCATGAAGTAATTAAGTTCACCTAGATCCTTGACTTTGAACTTCTGGTGTAGGGTATTCTTGGCATGTTTGATCAGGTTTGCACTTCTTCATGTGATGAGAAGATCATCCACATATACTAGGACAATCAATACCTCTTCTTGGCTTCTCAAAGTGAATAGGGAATAGTGATAGTAGGTGAGGCCTTTTCATTGACTCAATAAGATTAGTAAGGTAAGGTTTAGCCCGGTTTGAGTTGCCTTGGTCCTATGCCTTTGGAAAAATATCCACACGGCTATGAGATTATATGCCTTTGTGAGACTTTGCCGGCAGCTACACCATGAATCCTCTACATGAGGCTGTCATCATAACGCAATGTGAGGCGCAGAGGAGTTATTATATAGCCAAGACATATAGGTAACAATACCGGTGCTATTGTCCCCCTTATTTGTACTGTTCCTAATTGTTGTATTTTCTGTTCTTTTTTTTTATTATTATTAATAAAAAAATATCCTTAGGCGCTTGCCTAGCGGATTGCTAAAAAAAATAAATAGTGATAGTTGCTTTGAATGAAACCTGCACTGAGGAGTGCTTCTGTTAGCTTGATGTTCCAATGTATGGAAGCTTGTTTAAGCCCATATAAGGACTTCATTAACTTGCAAACTTTCTCGTCACCTTGTTGCCTAAATCCCTCAGGCAATTCCATAAAAACTTCCTCATACAAATCACCTTTCAAGAAGATATTGTATACATACATTTGGAACAGGTTCCAACCTTTTGAGGCAGCAAGTGCTATGATTGACCTCACAGTGACCATTTTTGCCATTGATGAGAAAGTATCATGATAGTCAAATCCTTCTCTTTAACTATACCCCTTTGCTACTAGCCTTACCTTATATTTCTTAATGTCCCCATTTACTTTATATTTAATCTTATATACCCATCTTGAGCATACCGTATTTTTAACCTTTGGCAAATCAATTATGCACCACGTTTTGTTATCTTCCAAAGCCTTTATCTCTTACTTCATAACCTCAATCCATCTATTGTCCTTGGCAGCTTCTTTGAAGGACTGTGGCTCAACCTGGTGAGAGAACTTGGCTAAATAACATTTATAAATGGAGGATGTTTTGTCATAAGACAAATAGTTTGAAATTGGATAATTGTAGGTAGCAGCCTTCTTTGTAGTGATATAATCTTTCATCCATAGTGGCTCATTGGTGTGTCTTGAAGTTTTCCTGCCTATGTTTGGTGGTACAATTTCATTTTCTTCTTCAAGTGATTGTTGCATTTCATTGTGTGACTCATTTTGAGCCTCTACATCCTGGACATTAGGACTCTGAACTTCTACATCCTGAAAGATTGCTGCATCTGCATCAGAACCATCAGAATTTGCCACCTCAACTTCATGTTTTGTATCATCTTCTGTTTCTGTGTGATCTACATTTACTGTTATTTCTGGTAAGTTTGATCCACAAGGAGTACTACTGTGATCTGACACCTTCATATGTAGAGGAGAAGACATACACAATTCAGATTCCTTGCTCATATTAGTGCTTCCTTTGGCAAAGGGAAATTCAGATTCCCTGAAAACAACATCCTTGCTAGTAAAGAATTGCCTAGTTTGTAGATCCAGAAGTATATATCCCTTCTATGTTTCAGAGTATCCCATTAAAACTGCTATTTTGGCTCTTTCAGCAAATTTGTCTCCCTTGAGCAGATTTGTTACATAACATAGACAACATATAACCTTTAGATGAAAGAGAGAATCCTTCCTACCATGTAGTAGCTCAAAAGGCACTTTGCCTCCTAGAGTTTTGGATGGAAACCTATTGATTAAATACACTGCAGCATTCACACATATGCCCCAATACTTCATAGGAATGGACCCCTGAAACTTCAATGCCCTAGCAGTGTCAAGAATATGTCCATGCTTCCTTTCTAGTTTCTGTTATGTCATTCTGTTGATGGGTATAAGGACAACTACTCTGATGAATGATGCCACGATTACTCAACAAAGATGCACATTGTGAGTTCAAAAATTCAGTCCCATTATCTTATCTCAGTATTTTAACCATGACTCCAAACTGATTTTGAACCATGTTTAAAAACTATTTTACTGCTACTATCACTTCAGACTTTAGTTGCAAGAAATGTACCCATGTGTATCTAGAATGATCATCTACAACAGTTAGGAAGTAGTACTTGTTATTGAATGTAGGAACCTTATAAGGGCCCAAAAGATCCATATGTACAAGATGAAACAATCCATTAGCTCTAGAGTCACTAAGTGGGAATTTCAACCCAGTCAGTGTTGCTAAGGGGCAAACAAAGCAATTATTCTCTGATATACTACTAACATAGCTATGTAACTCCTTTATATTCTTCATAGTTGATAGTAAAGGATGTCCTAGTCTCATGTGCCATAGGCTGCTGGTTCCTCCACACAATCTGCTCATTGCACAAATGACCTTCAGCTTGTTAGTTAGTCTTCCATTTCTAAGCAAATACAATCCACCTCTCTCTCTACAAATCTCCTTCACCCTGCCATTGCAGAGATCCTGAAAACAGGAAAGAAGTTGACATTGCAAGACAGTGCTATTGTGAGCTTTGAGACTGACAATAGGTTGAACCTAAAATCATGTACATAAAGGACATTTTTTATAGTTTCTTTATCCAGCAAACATGCACTACCAATATGTGTGATATCTGCCTTTCCCCTGTAGATAGATGTACTCTATCATTGTTAGAGTTGTTTGTAGTTCTAGTGTTAGCTAACAGTTCTAATTTTGAGGCAATGTGATGAGTTGCTCCTAGTGTTAGCTAACAGTTCTAATTTTGAGGCAATGTAATGAGTTGCTCCTGGAAGTAGAATAGAATCTCTCATTAAAGCATGAGCAGTAGGTGAAAGAGAACTTGAAAGAATCGACTGCATTGGGAAAGAAACTTTGGGTCTCAATTGTTACCCTCAAGTTCCTCTGTTTTAAACCAATCCTTTGTGTTATCTTCCTCGACCATGTTTGGGTTTTATGACCTTTGAGCAAGTTTTTTGGAGTTCGAACATGAATTTTCCCATTTGAATCAGCTAATATGGCCATTTCCAAATAGCTTGGTGATCATCCTTTTTAAAGCAACCAATGGTCCAGAATTCATAATTTTCAATTACACATGTTTAGTATTGCGTGGAAACCATTCTTGGTATGCCAGAGACCTCCAATCAGTTTAGTTACAAGTAGATGGAGAATTTTGTATGTATTGGTGGACGGGATATATCCCTAATTTAAATTCCATAACATGAGCTTTTTGGTTGTGGTATTATACACCTTGTGGTTGAAAATGAGCTGAGTGAGAAGAGAATAAGAATAACTACTGTTAGCACTAACGAAAATGAACACTTGTTGAGATGAATCTGATCCACTGGTTTGAAACTGTTCTATGTTGTTGGACTGCTTGATATATATATATATATATATATATATATATAAAGCAGAGAAGTTGCAATTAGCAGGTATGAGTGAGAACATTATATATATTGAAAGGTTCAATGTCCCTTCACTAAAACTGCACTAATCGGTCGTGCCACTGTTTGTTAAGTGTTATATTGTCTCTGACTGTTAACATATCACAACAAATTTGTACTTGTTAACTGAAGTGTTCTAAACAACAAATTCCTTTCTGGCCTTCCTCTAGCATTTTAGATTAAGGGCTTAACATATTGCTCCAGTATTTCTCAAGTACAAAAAAATATATATGTTGAGTACAAACACTTGAAAGTACCCCTCCCTGCTAGCGTCCTTCTTCGACTGTAATTGTCACCTGATTGTTGGAGACAATGTATTGCTTACTGGAGGAAGAAGAAAGTTTCCTAGAAGTGTGCGTCCTTATTACAAAAGCTGGTCGATTAGGTTGTGGAAGACTACTACCTTCGCCTCCCAGCATTAAAATAACATCTGACATGTTAGGACGTTTATTTGGATCTTCTTGTACGCACAGGAGCCCAATATTTATACACTTCGTTGCTTCACTTGTGTTGCAAGATTCAAGTAAGGACTTGTCTATCAATTGTATTTCAGCTTCTTCTGTCCACAACTTCCATGCCTGTGATAGATTTTCTATCAGAGAATCAAAGCTAAGTAAAAGATACAATATTACTACATCATGGGAAGTTTTTTCACTTACATAGCCCAACAAGTTCAAGGCTTCTTCTGATTGATAAAATCCTGTATTCCTCCTTCCGCTGACTATCTCAAGTAGGACTACTCCGAAACTAAACACATCTGACTTGATGGAAAACAATTCGTCCAGTGCATACTCAGGAGACATACAGCCACTGGTGAAAAAATGCATTAAGTATAAGATTTTTTTACTTCCTGCTAGGAATTAATGAGATGAAGGGATGTTCTACTTACTAGGTCCCCACTACTTTCTTTGTATTTGCCTCCGTTCCTTTTCCTTCAACTATCCTTGCCAAGCCAAAATCTGAAATTTTCGGATTCATCTCCTCATCTAGTAACACATTACTAGCTTTTAAATCTCTATGAATGATCCGCAGTCGTGAATCATGGTGTAGATAAGCAATACCCCGTGCAATGCCCAATATGATGTCATAACGCTTCTCCCAATCCAATAATTGACAA